GCTGTAAGAGATCATTATTTGATAGTGCTTTTCACGGTTTGGTCAAGTTCAACGGACACAAACTGCAAATCAAGCCTAAGCGAAGAGAGGAATCTGGGCGATAATATAATTGCCCAAGCCAAGAAGACGCTTGAAATTCATCCTGACTAGCAATACATGAGTGCCGACCTGGAATGCTTGGATTGAGGGGTCGGAGTGCATGTGCCTTAGGGTCTCATGGCGCAGAAGAAGATGATTGCTGCCGAGATGAAGTGCGCAAAAGCCAGACCAGCTGGCAGAGGAGAAAGCATTTGACTAGTAACATCAGCCTAAACACGGCTCAAAAAGAGCTGCTTATCGGCTGAATACACACGATGTAAAATCAGAGAAAAAAAATAAAGGAGGAAAAGAGGGCAGTAAATCAGCGGGTGTCTGTGGTTTCCACAGCCTGCGAGACTCACCACTTCAGTCTCCTTGTACAGCTGGTAACGTCCTAGATCATGCACTTCTTGAAGCAGGAAAAAACAGTCCTCCAGCGCGATGCCATAGACCTCTGAAGACAGATGGATCGTCAAGCGAGCCGATCAGAGAGAAGAGAGAGGTTAGAAGAAGAAGACAAGGTGAAAAAGAAAGGACAAATAAATTTAATTCGGTTAAGTGAGAAAAGAGTAGGTAGTTGTGTGGATAAGTTCAGGAAACGTGATGACGAGAAATATCTACTAAAGGATTTCATGACAAATCGTTACTTACCACATCACAGAGGTACAGAGACAGGCCTATGGGAAGAAAATAAGTTTAGAGGGCCGATAGTCTAAATATTCCAATGATCGCCAAATTGGAAAAGCCGCATTCCCGACGGCGAGATATGCGAACAGGAGTAAGGTGAGATCGAAAAAAGGTCTATTAGTGAAGTCATAGCAGACTATAGAGGCTAAGCAGAAGAGACATCCGTTCTTAATTTTTCGTTCTTAATTAGGGTTTCGAACATATCCATTATTCATGATTTTTCGCTCTTCAACCCCACAGAAAATATATGCTTTGGGTCAAAAAGGTTTCACTGTGTCGTTAAGATGACCAAGATATCGTGGACAGTTGGGTTGCACTCTTATTTTTGCAGTAGACACGGCTATCGATTGAATACATGCTTGATCATCTGGTTGCTGGGGCGAAGTCGCTAGGGCAATATGGGACAGAGAGAAACGAGTCATCTTCTGGACCCACACATCCCGGACTCGAGTCGCGTAGGCGATGAGGCAGTCTGGAATGAACACAAGCTTTTGGGAAAGAAGGCGCGGTGAAGTCGTATGGGTTAAAACAAAGTCTTTCTTAGATTCATATGGAGCCAATCAAGATCATCTGTCAAAAAAACAAAAAAAATGGATTTCGGGCAGACTCTGGTTCGTATTAGGACCGAAAGGCGAAGGAATGGCTGAAAATGAAGTAAAACTATTTACAGAAATGGGTTGACCTCGTTTTCGCAACTTGGTCTTGTTGTCAGGGCGACTTAGTAGAACGCACCTAGTCCGAAGTCGAGCCATAGTAGTCCTCATGATTCCCAGCATCAGACAGTGGACTTGGTGACTGCGACCATACCAGAGACCACAACACCTTGGTCTTCATATATTCAATAAAACTATTTTCACCGGAATGCTGAGGTGAACGAGTCAAGAAAACTCACCGTTAGCTTGAATTTGGTTGTGACGATGATACCTTGCTTTGATGATGTCCGTCATGTGACGGACGAAAGCTTAGCACCTTTTCACCGGAATCGAAGAAGATTACCTCCCAAACAGCATCAACATGAATCTTTCAGTAAAGCCAATCGACAGCTGGTCAAGAGGAATGCGCCGTCGTCTACTGGTGGAACCGATGAGGAGATATAAAGTGGTTTGAATAGTCCAAGTTATATGTCAACCGTTTTATACTTCATCAAAGAGCTTAGATTTGGGGTATGTATATAGCATCTAGGGATGAGCCAATGAGTTTTCTTGACTCGTTAACTTGAATATGGTTGTAAGAATGATACCTTGCTCTAATGAGGTTCGTCATACGACGGACGAAAGCCTAGCACGTTTTCACCGGAATCGAAAGAGACTACCGGGGAGGCAAAGTCAACAAGAATGTTCCAGTAAAGCCAACCGACAGCTGATCAAGACGAATCCGCCGTAGTCTTCTGGTAGGAATGACGTTCAAATCTATTCAACAAACCATTGCACTCGCAATGGAAGTAAGCTCAACAATTATGTAACAAGAGATTCCGCGAAAGCATACTTTTCTTTGCTTACTCAAAGATCTATTCACCCTATTTCGTTTAAGGTGATGATTTTTAGTAGACCGTTCACATGCTCCATTTCTTTGTGTAAACGGAGTGTAAAAATGCTTTGATGGATCCGATGAAGTGACATTGTTCCGGTGTAGATGCCTAATGAAGAGATTCCGAGGTCAATCTCACCAGGAGATAATGGCAGATTCATGTTGCCCTGCAGCAGTTAGACTTTAATGGCATATTCACCGGTCCATGAAGAATTCTATTTTGGTTCTGTTGAAAACCGACTGAGATGAACTCGGTTATGCCACTCTACAGACATCACCAGAGCGGAATCTCGTTCTTAAAAAGTCACACCCTAATATTCAGTTAAAAATATTGACCAATTCCTTTTTTATGCGCCGTAAAGTCTGATAGCAACAATAAAAAAACTGAACTAAAGGGTATGATTAATTGTATATTTCACTATATATGAGCGTGTGTGTACGTGTATACGTGTGTACTTTCGAGTACGAGCATGAATACGCGGTTCCGGTTGTGTGCTTCCTTGTGTCACTAAATTATGATGACCTAGGATTTGAGTTGCAATTATTGGCTTCGTGCACCCACTTTAATATACAAGCGTTTAGGAGGATATGGAAAGGTACCAACCAAATTATTATATAAGTCTTTTGATTCAATTCTTTTTTTTATGAGCATGCAAAACATGTGAGGAAGAGCCGATTAGTCTCATTATGAAAAGAAAGAAGATGCCTTTTGTACTGCCTCAACCTAAATGCTGCAGTTAGCCCAAACGATTGCAGAATTGCAGGAATCTTCCGCCGCTTTCTGGTTAAAGTGAACCAAGAAAAGAACTTCATTAGAAAACTCAAGTTGACGCAAATCTTATGCGATTATAATAGAAGGGCTGACGGACAGAGCAATAGTCCCAATCGAGGCATCAATCTAAAGATAACCGTGAAAAATGTAACTCAAAGACCAGATTCAACCCAGTAAACAGAAGTGTAGATGTACAGCGAAATAAGCGACCAGATTCCCCTTGAAAGTTGAGTCAATGAAAGGAAGTCGACTGTCAGGTCCTTATTTCCACGACAATAGCACCTCACCATAAGGTAGTGGAAAAAATTAGCTTTTGGCGACTGAGAATTCCAGGATGGTAAACATTTTGTTAAAAAATGCAGTGTAGATCTCGGTTCAAGCCAAAAGGTGTTTTTCGGAAGACTATAACAACAAATGGATTATTCCATTCTATCGGACTAAGGGTGCCTCAAAATTGCCAAGAAAGGTCAAAGGGGATATCATATACAGGGTTCAAATGGATGACGATCTCGAGGGCACATTGAATCTCTTACAAAACGTTTTAACGTCCAAGAGATTCCTTCAAGACTGAAAAGCGCAACGAGTAAACAGAAAGGCTTTTTCACGACTTGGACTCATAAATCTTCTCTTCGAACTGTATTTTGAAATAATATGGGAGATCGGAATTAATAATTGCTATTAATTAGGAGGATTGCTTTAATCGTTTAATGAAAGTATATATTAGATTGAATTTAACTGGACAGAAGAGAGGAATTCAGGTTTTAGCAGCTCATTATAAGTTCGAAATAGTTTTATAGCTTACTCTATTTTTTAGCTTATGATAACTTTGGAGAATGGGGAAACAAGAATCGAGAAGGCACCAAATCAGGATACGATAAAGAAGACTATAAGTGACTATTTTCGATGTGAGTATATTTCGGAACAACCAGTAACCCTTAAATAAGGTTATTTCAGAAATAAGAAGATGGCATTTTCCCACAGTGATGCAAATAGTCTTAATTAATGTCTAGACAGTACCTTGCTGTACAATCTTGTTGTTGCGGCGCACCTCGATATAGAGTTTGTCATAGTTAACCATCCGAGTGTCTGGATGACGCAGCTTGGCACGCAGGTCCACACGTACACGACCCGGAGGCACTCCGGTACCGGAGGCCGCACTCGTACCCAGCGAATTCGCGGCAGTCGTCGAGGTGACGAGACAAGCGCCTGGAGACGCCAGACCTGAGGCAGCTAGCGACATGTTGAGACCCGTCGGCGACCCCGACGCTGAGTCACCGGAGGTGCCGACAGCCGCAGAGATAGAAACGACTCCAGGAAAGTTGGTGGGCACCGAAAGGGTGGACGACGCATAGGGATGATTGTGAAAGAATGAGATGGGCAGGTCGAAACTGACCAAACTGTTCGGGTCGAGGGCGTCATGAGCGACCAGATGGTCGGCGAAGAAGAGCAGTTTCTCGGCGTGTTCCAGCCGAGTCATAATCGCCTCGGCCTCCTTTAGAATTCCACGCACACCATCGCGCGCAACCTCGAGCCGATCCACCTCGTCTTGATGGTCTGGAGGGGAGCAAAAAGAGGACATGTGACTGTTCACTTCATCGCTTCAAACTTTTTAGTCTGTCTATCATTTTACAGGCAGGTTTTCGAGACCATCAGTTGTATTCACACCCATTCATTGTTAAAGGGATCA